AGCCTCATGGTAAGCATGCTATCATGGCAGTCACTCACACACATGCAAGGATGCTAAAGCATAAAACTTACCGAGTATTCCAAGCCAAAACAGAAGCTGATTAGAAACCCATGCATGATCCTAACTATACATAAATGTCTAATGCAACACATGCAAAATGCAACTAAGATAGGCTCGGCTATTCTAAAGATGGCATGCGAAATGCTACAACTAACAAGTATTCAATTTGGAATTGAAAATACAATGCAGTTACTATGATGCGCCGAGCCCGGTGCATGTGAGACAGATGAAATGAATGCAAACATGCTATCATACTGTATGCTAATTGAAACATGCCCTAATCTAACCATCATAAGCTGGTAAATAAAAGGGAGAAAGACGTGGGGTTGGAAGACATACATCACACACACGCACACTTATTACAGTTGTGCCCTCGCTCGGAGGGTCCGAATAATATACAGTCCCAAATGAATAATTACAGTCCGAATAAATACAAATCCTAATTAATTTAGCAAATTAATCTAGGAAAGCAGTAAATTGCACGCAAATCTATGGACCACCTCAGCTCTGTTCCGAATGATGGATGATGCATGCTTGAGTTGCCTTGTGCGAAAATACACTACGATGCCCCGGTTCGCCTCTGTTTGCAATTGTTGTCGGGATGCGTGCCAAGCTCCGGAAGGCTGCCGATTTCTGATTTGCTGCAACAGAGAGCAACAAAGGGGCATGGCAAAGTATTTTCACATATGTATGCATGACTACTCTTCAGGGAGAGTAGTCCTCGATCCTCGTGCCACCAATCACGCATCTCGATGCATGATGCCCGAGGAGTCGATTTGCACGACTTAATATGAAATGAATGCACATATGGACACAACAAGGCCTAGACTCCATCATGGATAATCCGGAGTGTCGGCGACAGGGAATTGAGACACGTTCCGTCACTCGGAGTACGAAACATCCCTCGTTTCCCGTGCTCGGGCTAACTCCTATCCCAAGCACAATGCAATATGCATGACATGCATGAATACAACTAATATACAACCTAGCATGCACAATGCTATGAGGTGGCATACACAATGCGCGATGTAACAAGGCATACACAATGCTCTAACATACAACTTAGCATACGCAATGCTATGATTTGAAATGGCATACACAATGCATAATGGACTTACACCAACATGAATGGACCTCAGCCACACTCACATCAGTAGCCATTAGATGAAAATGAGACTCTCGAAACACGTACACGCATGCATGCAAATCGAGGACTGAACCTAAGGCAATAAATGCCACTCTACCGAAGCATGGCAAGGCATGGAATATGGTATGCAAATATGCAAATCTCAGCGCTGAAATATGATACAAAACAGCCCCGAAACATGGAAACATGGCACCCGATGCATGGAATGAACCCTGAAACTCGAAACTAGGCATATAGAATGACTTACAGCTATACAAAGCATGCATTATTTGATCATGAAGCATGAAGACAGATGCAAGACAGTCCCAAAACATGCATATTTCCAGTTTATAACAAGTCTCAAAAATAATCACAAATAAGGCCAAACTATCATGCAAAAATGGCCCTAAAAGAGAGATTAAACACAAGGGACAGCAGATGGCCCAAAATGGCAAAGAGCCCTTCAACAAAGTTTAATATGGGTTCAAAAAAAGACACTTTACAGTTTACATCAAGCCACGAAAATAATCACAAATAAGGCCAAACTATCATGCAAGAAAAGGCCTAAAAGAGGGGTAAAGAGACAAGTGGTAGCTTCTGTTCTCAAACAGATGAGAGCCCTTTAACAAAGTTGAAGAGGGGCTCAAAAAAAGATACTTCACAATTTATGGAAAAGCCCAAAACAGCTCACAAATAAGCCTAAAATACTATGCAAAAATTGGCCTAAAAGAGAGATAAAGACGCAAGTGATAGTAGGAGACCTCAAATAGAGAAGAGCCCTCAACAATGTTGAAGAGGGGCTCAAAAAAAAAACATTTAACAGTTTATGACCAAGTCCGAAACAGCTCACAAACAAGCCTAAAATACTATGCAAAAATTGGCTTAAAAGAGAGATAAAGAGGCAAGTGATAGCTGATGGCCTCAAACAGAGGAGATCCCTTCAACAAAGTTGAAGAGGGGCTCAAAAAAAGATATTTCACAGTTTATGACCAAGTCCGAAAAAGCTCACAAATAAGCCTAAAATATCATGCAAGAAAAAGGCCTAAAAGAGAGTTAAAGAGGCAAGTGATAGTAGAAGACCTCAAACAGTAAGAGATCCTTGATCAAACATGAAAAGAAGCTCAAAAAAAGACTATTTACAGTTTGGGTCGGAGCCCAAAAAAGCTAGCAAGTATGGCTTAGATACAAAGCAAAATAAGGCAAGAAAAGAAGAGAAGAGGACTTACCCTTGAAGACTAATGAACCAGCAGCTCTTGGACTAATTTTCTAAGCCTTTAACCTCATCAAAACAGTCCCAAAGTGCTGGAATGAGGGATGGAGGCCTTGTGCTATGAGGTGTAGGGTAAATGGTGTAGAACTTAAGGGGTTTTGGTGCTTGGAGTAGAGAGAGAGAGAGATTGAATGCAAGAGCTCCAAACAAGTTTTTGTAACCCTCAAACAAGGAGCTGAGGGGCTGGTTTTATAGAGGAGAGGAGTGGAGAAAAGAAGGGGAAAATCAAATTCAAATTCCCCCCCAAAAGACCTCCCCTCGGATACAGGATCTGGGGGGAAACAGAGGGTACAACTGTAAGGAACCAGGTGAGAGGGTCATGGCCGGCCAAGTTCAGAAGGTTCAGGGGGCCAGCTGGCCGGCCGGCCACCCCCCATGGCCGGCCGACCAAGGGTCAAAAGGGTCAATGACAATTGCTGGTCGGCCACCTCAAAAAGGTGGCCTTCCATGTGTGCACAACACAACTATGTGGTCAAAACCCAGAAAATGTGAACCAGGAGAGAGAAAAGCCAACTTTTTAGAGGGGTTCAAAAGGGTCAAGCACAATTGCTGGTCGGCCACCAAATATTGGTGGCCTCCTAGGTGTGTACAACACAAATATGGGGTTTAGGGTTCAAGAAAGTGGCCCCGGGGTGGTCAACATTGGCTTGTTAGTGAAGAAAACGGGCGACGGAGAGCGATGAAGAAATAAAGATGGCTTTTCAGAACAATTGCTGGCCTTCCACCCTCCTACAAGCTTCCTAACAATGAAAATAAGGCCTCCACCAAAAATGAACCAAAACGGATGCCAAACGGAGGTTCGGGGACCGAAACGCGCAGTCTGGGGCCCCGAAAATGGGCTGTTAAGCACCGGAGGTGGCATTCAACCACGAAGTTGGTGTCTCGGGCCACAGTGTCCCCCAAAAGGGAGTAAATAAGGTGTGTGCCAAAAACCGGAGCAAACGGAGGTGGTTAGGCGGTCCCGAACCGAGGCACACGGCCGTCGGCTCCGAAAAATCGGAAACCGGGCTCCAAACGGGAAAGATGGCCTACAACCACGAAACGTAGCCTACGGCCACTGAGGGATGATCTACGAGACCTCTCTCTCCCTTCGAGAAGAGAAAACAGAGAAAACAGAGCTTGGTTCGCAAACCGAGGCAAGGCACGAAAGAGTCCGGATGTCCGGAGGCAAGGCTCGCAGCCGAGACTCTAAAACTTCTGAATGAGCACGATATGCAATATCACCGAGCGCTCAACTGGTGACGTCTGAGTCTTAAGGTCGGTCAAAAATGGGGTGTCTACAGCAGGGTGTAAATACATCGTATGTAGAGTCAGTGGCAGAGCCACGTAAGGACCAGAGGGTAAATACATCGTATGTAGAGTCAGTGGTGGAGCCACGTAAGGACTAGGGGGTCATGTGCCTCCTTGGATTTTGTATTTTGTATTTTTTTTTCAAATATAAATAAAATATTTTAAGTAAAAAGAATTACAAAAATATTATTAGAGTAAAATGTCAATGACATTTTAAAAATTATAAAAATAATAATGGTTATTTTGATTGAAAATGAAGAGACTATACACCATATTATCTATGAAAATTTTAAATGTAATGGTGATGTCATTATTATTGACATGTAAGGATAAATAATCTCACTATAAATATATTAAATTTATTAGATTGTTAGTTACATTTGACATGTGAGGTTCACTCTCTATGTGTTTATTTACTATTAGTTGGTGATATCGGATACTAGTAATGACATGATATTACCATTATATTGAATTTTTAATCAAATTTTGTACAAAAAAATAATTTATCATTATATAATTTATTTTAAGACTTATATCCATATTTTTATATTGTCCATGATGCACTAGTTATAAATAATATTATTTTATTGATGTTTCTCGAAATCAATTGTAAAAACTTGAGTGAAATATTTTTGTAAAATTTATTGATATTGTAATTAATAAGTGTTTCCTTATTTAACTTTCTAACTCCGACACTGTGTGGTGTGAATGTGAATGGTGCAAGTGTGTGCAATTCCATCTTGTAAAGGTTTTTGGAATGAATTATGGATTTTATAAAAAGATTTGATGAGAATTTTAAATTTATTATTAAAGTGCATCATATCAGATCAAATTTTTTATCAAATTTAATAAAAATATTTAATGAAGCATTTGAGATTGAGATGCTTTAACCGTTCATTATTATTTTTTAATCTAATTTGATTCAAAATTTGAATGAAAAACTTGACATGATATGAACTATTTCAACTTTCTTCATTAAATTTTCAGCAAATATTTTAAAAAATTTATCCTCTTATTCTAAATTTTTCTTTTCATTAAATTTGACGGGAAAAAACTATTTCCAACGCTTCATCATTTTAAATTTTCAATCAATTTTGAATTTGATGAAAAATTGTTTATTTATTGATTTGATAAATTTTTAATAAAAGGATTAAGGATAATTTTGAGTAATTTGTAAAAATAGTTTAGGATTGGAGATGTTCTAGAGATGCACCAAACAAAGCCCTAGTGTTAACCTTTCCTTGTGAAAACCCGGTCCGAACCCGGTCAGCCCGGCTGAAAACCAAAAAGTCGCCTTTGGTTTTGTTTCGACAAACGGTCGCCAGTGTGCTCGGCTCGTTTCTTCTTCTTCTTGTACGATCATTCCATCGTTTCTCAGGCACAAACCCTATACTCAAATTTGTCAACCAAACAGGTCAAGATTTAACCTATCTCTTCTACTATTCTCATCATTTCGTGAAACATCTATAGTTCAAGTAGTTGTATTTGATAATAAAATCATATGTTTTTATTTGGATTGTACTTCTCATTTCTAGATTCCTAACAGTCCCTATCTCTTTCTGTATCAGCTTTGGCCTGTACATATATACATACATATATGTGTTTGTGTATATTAATGTACATTGGATGGCATATGAGAAGGAATTTTTGGTTCTATTTTAGTTTGATTTTTTTTTTTTTAAATTATTTATTTTGTGCTCTGTTTGACCAGTAAGAAACAAGGTTTGGATTGAATTGAAGTTTCTTATGTGTTTTCTTGGACCACAATAGAAATTGCCAATACATTTGATATTATTGTTCCATTTATTTTAGTTTATTTTTTGAAGATACAATGTAAAGGAAATATTCCTTAAAACTCCTAATTTTGAAGATTTTGTCTGAAGGAAATATCCCTTAAAACTCTGTTGAAATCAAATATCTCTTGATTTGGGGCATTGGTATATTATAGGATCTAGTGTTCTTTTATGTTTTGGCTCTAGTTTGTTTCTGTTTTTTCTTGGATATCCAACCCTGCCTATAAGTGAAAAATTATTGACCAAAGAGAAGCAACTTTAAGGCTGTGTTTGGATCATGATTTGGGTAGGGATTTGGAAAGGGAAAGGGAAAGGGAAAGGGAAAAGGTGGGTGAAATCCATGATTCAAACACTACCTAAAGGGGCAAACTCTGTACACTCAAAGCTAAAAGCTATACATGAAAGGCATGTATATATCTACAATGAATTGTACAAAAGAATTAATATAGAAAAGAGCATTCCTCTCTGAGTCACAGTCAATGACATTTAGCCGCTCTTTGCCACACCTTCGTCTGGTACTTCACAGGACAATGTAAGCTCCAAGTAACAACAAAATATTCTCACCAAACAAAGCATAACCCAAACCAAACAAAAAAATCAAGCACAACATATTCCACAACTCACTAGCCACTAGACAATGGAGGAGAAGATGATTCGTAGATTTCCCAGAATGCTTATACATCACCAATGAACAATCACCTTGCGTCTCCTCCTAAGATTGTCTATGGTCAAGTGAAGACACATCAAATCAAGCTATCCAAGCAAAAGAGCGTCTATTGGAGGGGCCTGCCTTAATCCTCCAAATAGCTTTCCTATCAGGGAAGGAAGCCTCACCTCCACAATGCTCCTGGTAAAAAGAACGAATGAAGTTTACTCCACTCCTCAATGGCCTCCATGCCAAAGCATCCTGGCCTCCAAGCTAAATCCAAGACCTACCTATCCAACAATCTCAGAAAGCCTCCCTCAAATTGACCTCCCAATCTGTGGAAGTCTTTTGAAACCACAGACTTCACATAATTTTTTGTTAGAGTGATCTCTAATTAATCATCCACAGTTGCAAACACATTGGTAGCTTACTAACACAGATTAGAAATACTTCCCTGAGGGATCCCCGTGACTGCACCATGGATCAAGCCAGAACCTTACCCTCCTCCCATTTCCTATATTGAAAAAGATTGCCCTTTTTTTTAACTCATCCCAAACCCTCAGAATTCATTTCCAATGATCCACCCCATAGGAACCTACAACGCTACCAGGGGACCAATTACCTCCATGCCTTCCATATTTTCCTTCCACCACCTTCTTTCACAATCTGTTGTGGGTGAAGAAAATTTTGTCAAATTTTACCCACAGTTGATAGTAGGATTGCATATTTTTTTCAGCTAGACTTTTGCAGGACATTTTTTTGGACTGTACGGTTCTTCTTCTTTGTTATTGTGTTTGAAGCTATTCCATATTGTTCTTTTGTTATTTGTCAATCCTAAAATGACGAATGACTAGAACCAAAAGAACAAAAATAAAGTGCTTTTCTTTAATTTTGTCGATCCCGATTAATCATACAGCATAAGATCTCTCTCATGCTTCATTGAATTCTTAGTTATTCAATTATGGTTATCGTAGTAAGCATTTGACGTTGTTTGTGACAGTTGCTGAGCTTGGGTTTGTGACACTTTGAGGAAAAAGATACACAATCATAAATGGATGATATTGATGATAGTATAAAGCCCGAGAGGATAGTTTTTGTGACTGTAGGAACAACTTGTTTTGACGCTCTTGTTAAAGTGGTGGACACTCCGGAAGTTAAACGGGAATTGTTTAACAAAGGGTATACCCAACTTCTTATTCAAATTGGCCGTGGGTCATACATCCCCACCAAGGTATATTTAAGATTTTTCAGGTTTTTCTTTTGATTGGACCCATAGTCCTTGTTGTCCAATATAACAAATTTAAAGTTTTTACTTGTGTTGTGCGTATGTAAGGGTGGGTGGGTATGTGTGTAATGTTGAGTTCCCTATTGTCCACCTTTTTTTATTTATTTTTTATTTTTTATCGAATCCATTGAGGTTTGTGTCCTTGGAAGAAATTTGGGAAGACAATCAAAATATTGCAAGTTGAAGTTCAGAAGTAGCTAGAATGATTTGAAGTTTTCTCGTAAGGACAATATTTGGATACATTAAAAAGTAGAAAGGGTCATCATTAGCAAGGTTTAAAATGTTCCAACATGGTAAAAAGGATTTCATGTTGCTTCTGGATTGATGAATTTGAGATTGATGGATTTGATTTGGTGATTCAAGGATTGCTGCTTAGATTTGGATGCCAAAAGAACCAACAAATTGATTTGAGAACTTTATTTCAGTTGATTTGAAATTGAAAGGTAAAGGGAGTTACTTAAAATCCCATCTTGTGAACAATTCTAGCTGCATAAGCATTCTAGTTGAATATACCCCTCTTTCCTCTATTTTTTTTTTCTTCCCTCCTCATCCAATTTCAATTGCCAATTCTTTTAGACATTTGTGAATTTGAACTCTATCCCCTCCATTTAATTCTTTAAATCTAAATTCAATCTTAGATTTTGTTTATAGGCTTCAGTTGCAAGCCTGTAGAATTGAAGTTGTGCCAGTTGATTTAGGATTCGGCTTTTAGAATGAATATAGGATTAGAAAATACTGAAGGCTAAGGGTGCCAAAAATTTAAGTTCTACCTTATGGATTAAAGTCTCACTTTTAGATAAACACAGAAATGCACTAAAGAAAACTTCTAGTAGTATGTTAAATGGATATACAAGTACCTGTAGACTGAATTTTGGTACTCCTGCTATGTTTGTGTATTCTGGATTTTGAAATTTGACACATTGAATTATGAATTTGATTCAATATCTATGGCTAAACCTGGTTGAGATTATCATGTGCCAAACAGGTTCGTATGCAACTCAAATAATACCAACTTAAAAAATTCGTGGAACTGAGAAAAGTGATCCTAGAAAAAAAAAATTCAATCTTGTATTTGGAGAATAAAAATAAACAAATAATTGAAACTTTATCAGCAAAAATTAATAAATAATTATAGAATAAAATAAAAATTGGAACTTCATCCGTGAAGTGCTTTTTCCTACGGGCCTCTCAAGTCTGCCAGGAAACACAAGTTGTTTAAACTTCACAAGCTGCCCATTGGTTATAGAATCCTCAAACATTTCGTGAGGTGCACATTGCCCCCATTTTAACTTCCATCCTGATAAGTTATTTTGAGTATGAATTAGTGAACTTTCAGGTCTGTGCCTACGTTGATGTGGGACTGGGACAAATGTAAACTCAAGATAGTTTGCTGGATCAGTGTTATCCAACATTTGGCAGCATTGTTCAGCTTGCTATGTTATTTAGCACCTAGTTTTGCTCCCACTTCTTGAAATAAAAAGTTATATCCTATCATATGCTTAATATTTTATGTGGTTCAAGTCAAGTACTTGTGACATTTCATCATTTCCAAAATTCAGTAACCAACAACATAAACAGTGCTAATTATCAAACCTTGATGTAAACCTACTATAAATGTAAACAGTGCTAATTATCAAAGCTTGATGTAAACTTATCTCCACTTCAGCTGCTCGCAAACTATCATAGCTCCATTGTTTTGTTCTTGCTAAATCAATGTCTTACTGTTTTCCCTTCTTCTGTTTTTATTTTTATTTTTCATTAGAGAGAGAGAGAGAGAGATTCAAAAGTTGTGACTATTTTTGTTTCAGTTGTTGACTTTTTCTTCACCTTTTTTGATAGTAGAGTTTAAATGCATCTTCTCGATTTCTTTCTTGTATGATTTTAACAATTCAACAATATTCTAGGCAAGGATCTAACAAAGACTTACATGAGTGTTATCTCATTTCCACTTCAAGGAGGAAAAATCTCCATTTTGACACTCATAATTTTTGGACCTTATAATTGTTGTACTCTTTGTTTGTTTCAGTTATTTGAGTTTCGAGTGATGACTCAAATTGAAGTTTTCAGAAATTTTTACCTCAAGACTCAAGTCCATGTTTCGTTTTCCTAGGGGAGTGCAAGGAAGGGGGAAACGGAAACTGTGCTCTTTTAAAATTTTTATTTTGTTATTGTTAAAGGCATTCTTACCATTGATGATAGCTTTTGTGATAATTTTTATTTGATAATAGCTGTTATGAATATTGGAATAGATCCTTGATCTTTTGCATCTGCTAAAAAGCTTCTTTATTGTACATTAGAGAATGTTATTTTGTAGAGTGGCCTTTTAATTCATTAGATACTTAAGAACTTAAAAGGGTATTTTCTTTCAATTTCAAAGAAATTTCTTTTATTTTGTAAGTTCTCTAATATAATCATTTTTAACACACATTTCTTATCAAAACAGTCTAGTGGAGAAGGTGTCTGCCTGGCTGTAGACTACTTCACATTTTCATCTAGCATTGCTGACAATTTGAGATCGGCATCTCTTGTTATCAGTCATGCAGGTACGTACAATATTTGGTTAAAGTTCTTAGATTAAATGATTTTGACCGTTTGAAAGTTTTATTGACAAATGAACTTGTTTATTCACCCAAAAAAGAGTACATAAAGAACATATTTAACAGCATTGGGTTCAAAAGTTTGTACATTGTTTCCTTGAAACTTCAAATGAATGTTGATTCTTGATTATTGATCTCACTTCCATGAAAAAATGCTCGAGGATCAAAATTTTATTTTAGCATCATTTCGGTCAGCTCGGAATCAGAAGGATTTTTGTAACATAAGGGAAACACGGGAAGGAAAAATGGAAAAGTATGCAAATATCTGGATACATAATTAAATAGATTGAAAGAGTAAGTTATCTTATAAGAGATTCTGTATTCTGTTGATGCACTTATTGTATTGATTTATTTTAGTGCATGTGGCTATACTTGTAGCCTTTTGTTGACCATGCAAGATCTGAACTTTTCTAGCTATAAAACGTAAAGGATCTTATGCAACCATCATGATTCATGCCCACCATAGGAAACATGTGATATTTTCCCCTTCTGTAAATTTGTTACTGATTAAAAGCTTTTTGTATGTCATAAAATTCTGTGAAGTCTTCTATCATATTATGCCTTGTAATCCCTGCTGGAAAATCAATGTCAAACCTTCTCAAGAAATAGTTGTTTTAGAAAGAGCACACACAAGAGGCTACAAGGCTCCATAAGTAAAACTGGGTTTATCAGTGGGTGATTTCATGGTAGAGTTAATAATGCACAAAAACCAGAAGGGAAAAACAATGAATTAAACATGCATTCCACTGGTTTAGAGATTCACTCTATTTGGTTTCAGTTTTCAAAATTCACTTTTTAGAAAATTCTACTTTTTCATTTTTCATTTTTTTTTTTTTGTTTTCACGGAATTTTTTTAATATTTTAAGCAATTTTTTTTAAAAAATTTTAGACACATCTAACATAAATACACTTAAAAAGTATAATATTTGTGAAAAAAATCTTTCAAAAATTCACTAAATATCAAAAATATAAAAAAAAATACAAAAATTCAATACTTTTTTTTTTTGTGTATTTATTACCAAACCAAACCAAGCCTTAAGTCCCATCAAATGGGATCGGCTACATAAATCTTTCTTCTCCACACGGCTTTATCAAAGGCCATTTCGTTAGTCAAATTAAGTACATCCATATCTTTATTTACAACGCTAGCCAACGTTAATCTAGGCTTACCCGGTCCTTAACACTTCCATCTACCGCCACTGCATCACATCTCTTCATTATTGTCTCTGTTGGTCTCCGTTGAATATGACCAAATCATCTTAATTGATTCTTTCTCAACTTATCTTCTGTCGATGCTACTTCTACCTATGCCCGAATACACTCATTCCTAAAACTATCTTGTCTAGTCTTGCCACACATCCACTTTAGCATCCTCATCTTAGCAACACTCATCTTATCTACATGTTGTTTCTTGGTTGCCCAATACTCCGTCCCATACAACATCGCTGGTTTAATAGCCGTTTTATAGAACTTACCTTTTGGTTTGGTGGGTATTTGTTTATCGCACAGTACCCCAAATGCACTTCTCCACTTAAACCATCCCACCTTAATCCTATGGGCTACATCAGTATCAATCTCCCCTGCCGTTGTGATAATCGACCCTAAATAACAAAAATGTTCACTCTTAGGCAGTTCTTGGTTCTCAATCTTTACTTCTCTTCTCTTTTGCTTTCATTATTACTGTTACTAAATTTACACTCCATGCATTTTGTCTTAGTTTTGCTTATCCAGAATTCTTTAGATTCAAGTGGTTTTCTCCAAATCTCCAACTTTGTGTTAACTCCTCTAATCTCATCCACTAACACGATATCATCTGCAAAAAACATACACCATGGCACGTTATCCTGATATTTCTCGCCAAATCATCCATAACTAAAGCAAAAAGATAAGGGCTTAAGGTAGACCTTTGGTGTAACTCTACAGTGATAGAAAATTCATTTGTCTCTCCAGTAGGTGATCTAATAGTGGTCACCACCCCTTTATACATATCCCTAATCACATCAATGTAACCTTTTGTCACCCCTTTCTTCTCTAACACCTACCATATTATATTCCGAGGCACTGTATCATATGCTTTCTCCAGGTCAATAAACACATAAAAACCATATGAATTATTTTTTCTCTCCACTTTTCTATTACTCTTCTCAAAAGATAGATTGCTTCCATTGTTGACTTGTCAAGCATAAATCCAAATTGATTCTCTAACACATCTGTTATATCTTACAATCGGCGTTCCATCACCCTCTCTCTCACTTTTATTATGTGACACATTAGCTTGATTCCTCTATAGTTGTTGCAATTCTAGACATCTCCTTTATTCTTATAGATTGGCACTAAAATACTCTTCCTCCACTCATCTGGCATGTTCCTAGTCAACAAAATTTTTCTAAACAATCTAGTCAACCAAGCAATCCCCTTTTTACCCAAACACTTCAAAGCTTCAATAGGATATCATCGGGTCTCAAAGTCTTATTTGATTTCATCTTCTTAAGTGCAATCTCCTCTTCAATGTTCCTAATCCTGCGATAGAACCTATAGTCTTCGTTTATTGTATTACTGGCTATTTCTTCCCCTATTGACATATCTCCATGTTCCTCATTTAATAGTTTCTCAAAATAGTTCTTCCATCTCTTCTTAACCTCTTCATTCTTCACCAATACCCTAGAATCCTCACTCTTGATGCACTTAACTTGATTAAAATCTCTTGTTTTCCTCTCCTGTATCTTAACAAGTTTGTATACCCTCTTCTCTTCCTCCTTACTATCTAGTCTAGTGTATAGGTCATCATACGCTTTCAACTTAGCCTCTCTCACTACTTTCTTGACCTCCTTATTAGCCAATCTATAGCTCTTAACGTTTTCCTCAGTTCTATCCTTCTACCACATTTTAAAGCACTCTTTTTTTTGTCTTAACTAACACTTGAACCACTTCCCTCCACCACCAAGTTTCCCTAGAGCAGGGTCTCGATCCTTTCGACTCTCTAAGCACTTCCCTTGAGATTCTCCTCATACAATTGGCCATCGAGTTTCACATAGTGTTAGCATCATCTTCCAAGTCCCAAGTACCTTCCTTATTCATTCTATTCTTAAATATTTCTAGATTATCCCCTTTTAGGTCCTATCATCTCGTCCTACGCCCACCAATCTTCCTACCTTGGTATTGCCCTTTAAAACATAAATCTAGTACCACAATCTTATGTTGAGAGGCCTGACTCTCTCTAGGAATCACCTTACAATCACTGTATTTTAGGCAGTCCACTTTTCTCACTAAAAAGTAACCTATTTGGTTCTTAACTGACCCACTCTCAAAGGTTATCAATCCTTCCTCTTCTTATACATAGTATTGGCCACCACCAAGTTAGAAGCGAACGCAAAATCTAAGGTACTCTCTCCAGCCTCATTTCTATTACCAAAACTGTATCCACCATGTACCATTTCATAACCTAGTTTATCTATACCTACATGGCCATTGAAATCTCCACTTACAACTAGGTTCTCTCCTACGGGTATCTTTTGTAAGATCTCATCCATTCGCTCCCAGAAATCCCTTTTAGTCTGATCATCTAATCCTACTAAGGGGCATATGCACTAATAACGTTCACTATATTCCCTCCAATAACTAGTTAATCCTATCCATTTTCCTAGTGACCGCTACTACTTGAGGGGCGTATGCCTTATTTGTTAATTTTTTAAATATTTTACTATTTAGATACATCTAAGTAAGGTGCATCTAAAAAAGTAAAAAAAAAATTGCTTAAAATTTTAAAAATACTCACTAAAAACAAAAAAACACGAAAAACAAAAAATTCAATTTTTAGAAATCTGAATTCAGAAAACTGAAAGCACACTTGTGTCTTTGTTTTCTGTTTTCGTTTTTAGGTTTGGCGTAGTGTTTTCAAAAACAAATTTTGAGTGTTATGAAACGGCTCACTTTTTTGAAAAAAAGAACAAAAAAAAAAAAGAAGTTATTTTCGGTTTTTCCAAAAAAAAATTCACACAAAAATGAATAGAATGAAGTTCGTTGGACCCTGAGTTAAGTTTAATATCTTCTAAGTTTGAACACATGCATTTTGATCCTGATGTCTCTGAGACTGAATTTAATTTTGGTGCAGGTTCGGGAAGCATATTTGAGACACTGCAACTGCGCAAGCTGTTAATTGTGGTGGTGAATGAGGATTTGATGGACAATCACCAAAGTGAGTTAGCGGAAGAACTAGCAGAGAGGAAGCATTTGTTTTGTGCTTCCCCTCAAACACTCTTACACACTATCAAAGCTCTGAGTTTAGACACTCTCGCTCCATATCATCCAGGAGATGCCAGACCAGTCGCCAAACTCATGAACCGGTTTCTCGGTTTTCTGGAGGACTGATCAAGCTACAGAATTGAGTTACATGTGGGGAAATATTCAACTCTTGCATTTCCCCACTGCATGTACTGATGAGGTATGAGCTTTCTCGAGGGTGTGTTCTGGAAGTGTTTTATAACATGAATCCAAAAAGATGATTGTTAGAAGCACACTATTCATGATTCGATTTCTATGATTCGATAGGAGTTTCAACCAAAACAATTCAAATTGTGCTATTGAATCGGAAATTGAGTGAATCGCACAATTCAATTTACGATTCACTACGATTCAATTCTATTTTCGATTTATAATGCATGAAATGATGTTATTTTTGCTTCTATCGATTAGTAAAAAAGAGATCAATTAGTTATATTCATATACGATGTTTTATGTATATATACACATAATTTAGTTATATTGATATTTACTTTAGTTTAAATATTATGTGTTATTTTATGTATATATGTAAAATTATCAATTATGTTAAATAAAATGAATATTACGATTTATGATTTACTATTTTAGCAAAATGATTCACAGTTTGATTCATGATTTGTTAATTGATGTCCAAAAATACCATTTCCTTCCCTCTTGTTTGAAACCAAAATAAAGGGTGAGAAATAAAATTCTCTTGAAAGTTGAATTATATGTACATGGTTAGTTGGGTCGTTGATATAGATTGATTTGATAAATCATTCAACAATCAACGTAACATGAGAGTATTTGAATAGGTAGTTGGGTAATCACATGCTACTAGATTTGGAGACCATGAAGATATTGATATCATGTACCCCTGTATAGAGGTTTCTAACATGTGACTGCTACTGTAACTTTCAACTGTTTGGGCTTTTGCCCTACTTTGTATTTACTTCATGTGCACGCCCAAACACAACCCATCTGTCCCAACCAAGTACTGTTTAAAGTCACATGAACTTTGTGACTTACTACTGTTGCCTCTCCTTCACGGCTTAGTTATTCAATAGTCCCCAAAGCACAATCTCAGCAAGTTGATATGGGTTTTCAGACTAGAAGAGCAGTAGTCATTAAACAGGTGGAGTTGACTTGACCTGCCTTGGTTGATTGGCTCATTCATCTCTTTTGCACGGCCTCAAAGCACGTGTATTAGTGCACCCAAACCAATAAGAGTAGTATTCACAAGATGGGTGGAGTCGACTTGACTCACTTTAGTCAATTGGGTGAGAGTTGAGGTCGGCTCCTTCCATTCTTTTTGTACAACCTTGGCGCTCCCATACTAGTAAGAGTAGTGTAGTGACAGGATGGGTGGAGCCGACTTGACCTACCTTGGTAGATTGGGTGAGAGATAAGATCCGTTCTATTCATCCCTTTTGCAGAGTCTCAAGCACGTATATCAATGCTCTCGTACCAATAAGAACAGTAGTCACAAGATGGGTTGATTGATTGAGAGATGAGGTATACCCCAATTTATTCCTTTTGCACGGTCTCATTGATCAGGAGTACATGGAACAATTTTCCCTCTCACAGGATAAGACTTTGGCGTGTGACATACAGTTAGAGATTGATAGATCTGGACTCACATTGATGGTGTTTTTTAGTAGGGAGGTCCAGGCAATGTCACTCTCAACTCACAGTTGTGAACTGTACATCTCCTTTTTCATTATTGTTCATTGTAGCTAATGATGGTTTATTGAGAGCTTTGTTTCTCATTATGGGAATCAACATAATTAATCCACCGGACTATGGTTGAGGATAGATTGATGATTGCTGCTTAATCATTATTATGTTAAGCATTAATTTTCGGCCTATAGATTGTATTCTGGTGATAGAGAAAACTATGGTTGTGAATCGGAATGACAACAATCACTTGGTCAGTTCAGTGATCAAAATCTTGTATCTCATTAAGAGGTCACGAGGATTTCTTTTCTTTTTCAATGTATTGGGGAAAATAATAGGGATGTCAATATGACAGGGTTTGAGTCAGGAGACTTTTACCACACCTAATGTGCCTCGCATTAGTGTAACTCCAACTTTACTTGGCCCGGCTAGTTTAGTTTTACGACTACTGTTATTAGAATTGAACTTTAAAAACGTGGTTGGATTTGACATACTTGGCTTTCGCTTGGATGTGACTTGATTTTTTAAATTTTTGATTATTTTAATTTGAATTAAAAAATCTTGTTTGAGATAAGTTTTTTAATTTTTTTGACTTTTGTAAAAAAAAAATTAAAATAATTATGATTTAGATGTAATATTTTGTCTTATTAATTTTTTAATTTATTTTATTTTTTTATCACTAAAATAGTCAAAAAAAAATATCCCAAACATATTCTTTTTATCTCTGATTAAAATTCTTTTTTAAATTGGTTGGACCACTTTATTAGTTTCCTTGAAATTTAAGGCACCCATTTGACTTTTCAGACCCATTATTTAATAAGGGTTGGTTTGAGATATGTGTTGGTTTTTTAACTTTTTGATTATTTTAATTTGGAATTAAATTTTTTTATTTATGATAGGTTTTTTGATTTTTTTAATTTTTGTGAGAGGAAAAATAAAATGATTATAATTTCGATGTGATATTTTGTTTTATTGGGTTAAAAATCTTATTTTTATGTTTGGCAATAGATTTTTGGCTAGAAAAACACAAAAGATAAAATTGACTACATAAGTTAATAAGACAAAGGCCAAGTTTGGGAAGATTAAATAAGTGTACTTTTTGACTTTTTTTGTATTATGTGTAAAAAAAGTAGAGAGGAGATGTTGATTGATGTGACCTAAAAAAGATAAAAAGATTAAATAAGTGCACTTTTTTAGGTTAGCCAAACTTGGTCAAAATGTCACATCCAAACAATAATCATTATATTTTTTTTTTTACAAAAAAAAAAACTAAAAATAAAAACCAAATGAGACTAAAAAAGTAAGGCTAAAATAGTTAAAAATTCAAAAATTTAGATTATTTTAGCTCTTTTCGAACGAAAATTTTATCTTTCTATGACTATTTTAACCAAAAAATCTCATTTTAACTTAGGCTAAATGAGGGCTAAATAGGTATGTTAAGATCAGAAATTTTTTTGACTGAGATGTGAAGTGGGCTAGGACTCACTTTTTGTTTTTGTTTTATTTCATTTTTATTATTTCATCCGTTTCAAAATATTATTAGTTCCTTATTTTATTTTTTATTGTCGTAAAATATTAGTTCATTTTCAAAAATCAAGTACAAAAATAATATAAATTTCTTATTTTGCTCTTTTTTTAAATGCATTAACAACATAAAAAGTATAATTATGACATTGATATTTTTAAAAAAATATACTATTAAAGGATAATTTTGAAAAATTATTTTTTTTAAAATACAATAATTGCACTATCAAAAAAAATTAAATTTCTCAAAAGGAGCTATTATTTTGAGACGACTCAGCAAGTTGATATGGGTTTTCAGACTAGAAGAGCAGTAGTCATTAAACAGGTGGAGTTGACTTGACCTGCCTTGGTTGATTGGCTCATTCATCTCTTTTGCACGGCCTCAAAGCACGTGTATTAGTGCACCCAAACCAATAAGAGTAGTATTCACAAGATGGGTGGAGTCGACTTGACTCACTTTAGTCAATTGGGTGAGAGTTGAGGTCGGCTCCTTCCATTTTTTTTGTACAACCTTGGCGCTCCCATACTAGTAAGAGTAGTGTAGTGACAGGATGGGTGGAGCCGACTTGACCTACCTTGGTAGATTGGGTGAGAGATAAGATCCGTTCTATTCATCCCTTTTGCAGAGTCTCAAGCACGTATATCAATGCTCTCGTACCAATAAGAACAGTAGTCACAAGATGGGTTGATTGATTGAGAGATGAGGTATACCCCAATTTATTCCTTTTGCACGGTCTCATTGATCAGGAGTACATGGAACAATTTTCCCTCTCACAGGATAAGACTTTGGCGTGTGACATACAGTTAGAGATTGATAGATCTGGACTCACATTGATGGTGTTTTTAGTAGGGAGGTCCAGGCAATGTCACTCTCAACTCACAGTTGTGAACTGTACATCTCCTTTTTCATTATTGTTCATTGTAGCTAATGATGGTTTATTGAGAGCTTTGTTTCTCATTATGGGAATCAACATGATTAATCCACCGGACTATGGTTGAGGATAGATTGATGATTGCTGCTTAATCATTATTATGTTAAGCATTAATTTTCGGCCTATAGATTGTATTCTGGTGATAGAGAAAACTATGGTTGTGAATCGGGATGACAACAATCACTTGGTTAGTTCAGTGATCAAAATCTTGTATCTCATTAAGAGGTCACGAGGATTTCTTTTCTTTTCCAATGTATTGGGAAAAAAAATAGGGATGTCAATATGACAGGGTTTGAGTCAGGAGACTTTTACCACACCTAATGTGCCTCGCATTGGTGTAACTCCAACTTTACTTGGCCCGGCTAGTTTAGTTTTACGACTACTGTTTTTAGAATTGAACTTTAAAAATGTGGTTGGATTTGACATACTTGGGCTTCGTTTGGGATGTGAGTTGGTTTTTTAAATTTTTGATTATTTTAATCTGAGTTAAAAAGTCTCGTTTGGGATGAGTTTTCTGATTTTTTTGACTTTTGTAAAAAAAAATAAAATTGAAATGATTATGATTTAGATGTGATATTTTTTTTATTAATTTTTTAATTTATTTTATCTTTTTATCATTAAAATAGCTAAAAAAAAAAAATTATCCCAAACATATTCTTTTTAGGAAAATTTACCCATAAGTCCTAGTTTTTGAAACGTTGAACCATTTAGTCCTAAAAGTTTTCTTATGCTCCATTTAGTCCCATTTTTACATCAACATGATGTGAATGATGTAAATGATATGATGTTTCATTCTATAATTTCAAAATTTATTGAAATCTGATGAACATTAGATGTTTTCCATCCTATATTTTCAAACATTATTGAAATTTGATGAACATTAGATGTTTGAAATCCAATGTTTGTAACATGACTCTGATGTTATTAACATTGTATCTGATGTTATTAACATTGTAATGAGACCTTTCAGTCTATAAGAAAACTTTTAGGACTAAACAGTGCATAAGTTATTAATTTGGGATTTATTGGTGCATCCCCCTTCTTTTTATCTCTGATTTGAATTCTTTTTTCAATTGGTTGGACCACTTTATTAGTTTCCTCGAAATTTAAGGCACCCATTTGACTTTTCATACCCATTATTTAATGAGGGTTGGTTTGAGATATGCGTTGATGTTTTAATTTTTTGATTATTTTAATTTGGGATTAAAAAATTTTATTTGAGATAAATTTTTTGATTTTTTTAATTTTTGTGAAAGAAAAAATAAAATGATTATAATTTCGATGTGATATTTTGTTTTATTGGGTTAAAAATCTTATTTTTATGTTT